AAAACTAGGAACATAAAGGAACTTTCTTGATCCCATAATGGGTAGCATGTGCCCACATGCACGTGAACATGTACACACAACTTAAACCTAGCATATGTAATGGTGAAGGTTTAAATTCCCTCCCTCCAAGATTGAGAACAAGGAAATGATGTATGTTCTTATACATCTATCCAACATTCAAGTCCTTGCCAATTCAATTGGTCAAGAAAAAGAAACAAAAAGCATACTTACTGAAAAGGAAGAAATAAAACGTTGTCTACTCAGGGATGATGTGATTGTGTATATAGAAAATCCCAAGGAATCTAGTGAAATGTTCACAGAACTAATAAGTGAGTTTAGCAAATTCACAGGATACAAGGTCACTACATAAAATAAATCACATTTTATAAAGAGATGGTCCCCAGCTTACAGATGTTTGACTTGTAATTTTTCTACTTTACAATAGTGCAAAAGTGATGCGCATTCAGTAGGAACTGTACTTTGAACTTTGAGTTTTTATCTTTTTCCAGGCTTGATATGCTATAAGATGCTCACTTCTGATGCTACACAGTGGCAGCAAGCTGCAGCTTCCAGTCAGCTGGGAGATCAGAGGGGTAAACATCTGATACTCTACAGTATATTGTGTTGCCAGATGATTTTGTCCAACTATAGGCTAATGCAAGTGTTCTGACCACATTTAAGGTAGGCTAGACTAAGCTATGATGTTTGGTAGGTTATGTGTATTATGTGCACTTTCGACTTAAAATTCTTCCAATTTACAGTACATTCATCAGGAAGTAACTATAGTTAAGTGGAAGAGCATATGTACTAGCAATGAACATTTGGAAATAAAAAAGTTTTAAAAACAGTCACAAGCATAGTAGATATATCTGACATGTAGTGGATACTCAATAAATATTTACTGAATGAGTAATGCAATTGGACTTTCAAATGTATTCTATTTTTGTTTTTCAATACATTTACATTTCAAGATATGTTCTTCTAGGTATTATTAACATGGTCTGATATCCTTGAGAGTATAACAATTATTCATGGACAATAGCACTGTAGAATTAGCTATATAGCTAGAAGCAGCCAAACAGGCTTAAAACATTATATTGAATAATCCACCTTAATTTTGATTGAATTCCCTATACTTGTGGTATTGAAATAGGTATTGTATCCTTCTTGTAAGATAAACTTCTATGAAAACGTTAGCCTCATGTACCTCTGTCATATGTTATATGCTGTGTACACTTGGGTTAATTAACATTTATCATTAAAAATTAAAAATTATATTATATCTGCATAATCTTAGTGACCTTAATTACACTGAACTTATTCACCTTTCAGTGCAAATGAAGAGGGACAAATCTCAACACTAACATTTCTGAAAACGGTAGTCTCCAAATTAGTAACCAGGTCCCCCCAAATTAGTATTATACACCTATTTCCAACCCTAATTTTAGAATGAAAATCACAGACAGGTGGTATCTAGTCAGACAAGAGGTGTCTAGTCAGACAAGATACCTCTTTGGTGAAGTCAATACATACTGGTTATTTGTGATTAATTTTAGTTTGTTGCATTATTATATTCATAAACTGTAGTTTTTTTAATAGCTGGAGCACATGTTCTATATTAGTGGGCAAAGTGGGAAAGTTTCTTTGAGACACCAAAAGGGAAACATAGCCTTCATTTTAAAGCATTCAGTAATAAAACTATTTTTATCTAACTATTCACACAGACAAATGGGCTCTAAATATATAAATCTGTTTTCTTTGCTTTGCTTTTCTCATTTCTTTCTCCCATCCCCTCCCCTCCCCTCCCCTCCCTTCCCCTCCCCTTCTCTCTTCTCTTCTCTTCTCTCCTCTCCTCTCCTATCCTCCCCTTTCCCCTCTTCCCATCCTCCCTCATTCTCCCTATCTCCTCCCTCCCCTCCCCTCTCCCTCTCTTTTCTTTCTCTCTTCTCTTCTTCTTTGTTTCTTTTCAGACAGAGTCTTGCTCTGTTGCCCAGGGCTGGAGTGTAGTGAGCCATCTTGGCTCACTGAAAACCTCCACCTCCCAAGTTCAAGTGATTCTCATGCTGAGTAGCTGGAATTAACAGGCATTGCATCACCATGGCCTAGCTAAATTTTTGTATTTTTAGTAGAGGAGTTCTCGATGTTGGCCAGGGCTGGTCTCCACTCTGGCCTCAAGTGATCTGCCCACTTCGGCCTCCCACAGTGCTGGAATTACAAGTGTGAACCACTGTGCCTAACCCTAAATATATAAATTTTTAAAAAATAAGCTAAGAGCTTTAAAAAACTTCTAAATTATAACTGGCTCATCTATTGACATACAAAGAACCATTACTTTATTTATTAAAATTGTAGTCAAAGCAAAAATTTTTATAACTATCAAAATACTCATTTGGCCAATGACCTATAATCAGAAGACTGACAGAAGTACAAAAGGCTTATTGAAAAAAAAAAAAAAAAAAAGATTGATTGCACTATGTTCCTAGATCGAAAGAAAATGGAGTTTGTCATTATTCTAGCATGGATTGGAAAATTAGACTACAAATAAGGATGCAGCAGAAGCATTTCTAAGATGGAAGTTTAAATCAATAAACACTTACATCAAAAAGAAGCTAGATCTGAAATAAACAACCTAAAGTTACACCTCAAGTACTAGAGAAATAAGAACAAAATCCAAAGTTAGCAGAAAGCAGGAAATAATAAAAATCAGAGCAGAAATAAATGAAATATACATTATAAAAAAAGGATGATCAATGAAACCAAAAGTTGGTTTTTATAAAGATAAACAAAATGGACAAATCTTTAGCTCGACTAAGAACAAAAGAGAGAAGACTCAAAAAAATCAGAAACGAAAGAAGAGACATTACAACTGATTCTATAGAAACAAAGTATCATACAAGAAGATTACCATGAACAATTATATGCCAATGATTTGAATTATCTACAAGAAATGGATAAATTCCTGGACACATACAACCTTCCAAGACTGAATCATGAAGAAACAGAAAATCCAAACAGACCAGTAACACATTAGGAGATTGAGTCAATAATAAACAAGTCACCCATCAAGGAAAAGCCAAGGACCTGTTGGCCTCACTGCTGAATTCTACCAAATATTAAATGAATAACTAATACCAGTCCTTCTCAAACGCCTCAAAAATTTGAAGAAGAGTGAATACTTCCAAAGCCAGACAAGAGCACTACAAGAAAAAAGAAACTACAGGCTGATATCCCTGATGAACACAGATGCAAAACTCCTCAATAAAATACTAGCAAACCAAATTCAACTAAAAGGGTCATTCACCATGACCAAGTGGGATTTATCCCTGAGCTGAGATCCGGCCACTGCACTCCAGCCTGGGTGACAGAGCGAGACTCCGTCTCAAAAAAAAAAAAAAAAAAAAGAATCCTTCAACAAACGCAAATCTATAAATGTGATACACCACATTAGCAGAATGAAAGACAAAAAACATGATCATCTCAACAGATGCAGAAAATGCATTTGACAAAATTCAACATCCTTTCATAACAAAACTCTCAACAAATTAAGGTATAGAAGAAGTGAACCTCAATACACTAAAGGCCATATGTAACAAACTGATAGTATATAACAGAATTAATGACTAGATAATGAAAAAAAATCAGTCAACTACCTGGTTTCTTGATATGGTGCTTATGTGTTATTCAGCTTAACTATTTTCAATAGCTGCTTCAAGTGATGTTAGTTGGGGTTGCTCTTATGGCTGAGTTCACCTGTTGGGTAAGCTGAATGAGCAAGTTCATGAAGGCTTCTCTTACCTGGCTGGAGCCTTGGTGTTGACTGGGGTACTTCAGTTATTCCCCTTCTTTCCTTGGTGTTAATGACTGGAGTACTTCAATTATTCCTTTTCTTTTCTATGTGGCCTTTCTTTCCTTGTAGTGTCTCCAGGGACTTGCCACATGGTCCTTCTCTCCAGCAGGTTAGCCTAGATTTCTGAAGATGCCATCTTCCAGCATTAAATATCTCTGTGCCTTGATTTTATCTTAATTTACGTTTGGAATAACTTCTTAATTCTCATTGTTCAAATAAACTGAGGTGCCCAAGCTTAAATTTGGAAAACATTTTTAACTTTCAAAAATAGTTTCCAAAAATAACAAAGACTTCTATTTTTTAAATTCAAACAACATGTTTTCAGGGAAACGTGTCTTGGAAGAAAAAAAAGAAATTATTTTCCCTAAGATTACAAAACATTAGGCCACTTGGTTCAGCCAGTGTATTTGCTTCCTCTCTCCTTCTCTCCTTCCCTCCCTCCTTTCCCACCCTTCCTTCATCCATTCTTTCCTCCCTTCCTCCATTTCTCACTACCTCCCTCCCTTCTTTCATTCCCTTTTATCTCCCTCCCTGCTTCCTTCCTTCTTGCCTTCTTCCTCCCTTCCATTTCTCTCCCTTCCTTCCTCCCTCCCTTCTTTTTTTCTTCCCTTCTTCCTTTCCTTCCTTCCTTCCTTCTTCCCTTCCCTCTGGACAAAGTGCATGAAAATCAGAATGTATTGTGCATTGAAGAATTAAAAATTTTTCTAGAGTTGCCTAAAACATTTGTGAAATATTTGCTTGAGAAAGTGAAAGGGAAAAAAATGTTACAATAGCAAATATTTAATAATACAAAAAGCGACAAATATTTATCACTGTGACTGTGAAAAAATCCTCTATAATAAATGATAAGACTAGGTAATCTCAGAATATAATCAATCTAGATTTCCTTTAATTTTGGTTTTAGAATCCATTTTACTTAGACCTAAGACTCCTTGAAGGTAACAAAATAATTTATTTTTCAGAATCAGGGTGGTTATAAAATTTCAAAATATATGATCAATTAAAAAATAATAATCAACAATTAGAAAAATTGATTAAATAATTTAGATTCTATTTGCAGCATTGCCAAATATGTATGTTTGTTTTTAAAAGTTGACATTGATAATACAATTATAAACATTAAGGTCTTAGGTTAAATAAATATTCCTTTACAAATGTTTGAATTTTTATTTAATTTACAGCAGAGAACCAGGTGCAATCAATACTTTCACATAGGACAAACACAAAGTATTTCTTGAGCTAATAATTAGCCTTCACTTTTAAAAGCAAAACTAGAATTTTTATTCATCTTTCTTTCTGCTTCAGATATTAACAGCTGCTCATTAAATATTCATTGAAGCTTGTTATAATTGTACCGTATTTCACTAAATAAATGTTTATAATACATTTAACCACAAAATAGATATCACCTCTAAGTTTAACTTATATTCATACTATAATGTAGTATTAATTTTTCAAAGATTTTTATGATGGGCCTAGAGAGGAAGGTAAGATATGTAGACAGCATATCTTACTATAGTGCATATCTAGAATACTCTTTGAAGTATTCTCTACTGTTTTCTATTCCCAGCTTCAGCCAGCAAAGTATTTTCTGCATCATAAATGATCTCAGGGAAAAGATGAGAAAAGCCGAACATGCCAACAGTAAAACATGGTCCCAGAGTGATAATAAAGCAAAGGCTGTAAGATCCTTTGTGAAGACGTTAGAACGACTTCAAGCAATACCTCATCGGCCCTGTAGGCTAGATAATCTTATGGAAATTTTCTATAGCACCCTGATCTTAGCCAAAGGTAGAAAGGGAATGTCTCAGTATTTATGGAAGTGGCTTTTTTTTTTTCTAATGGGGTGGACTAATCTGATATAAAGGCTCACAGAGTTTTAAAGAAAATTGCATTGATGAAGATACCACCAGCATGGATTAAAAGAAACACAGTATGAAAAAAAAATAGAGGTACATAGGCCCCCGATTTTCTACAGGTCTTTTCTTCATAAGTCTTTTTTTCTTACCCCTCTTCTACAAACAAAAAGACTGTTGTATCAGTTATCAATTGCTATGTAATAAACCACCCTAAAACTTGATTACCTAAATAGATTATTTTAAAATTTCTCATTTCTGTGTACTGGCTGGTGGTTCTTCTGCAGCAAATGGTGTTACCTGGGGTCACTAATGTGGTTGCATGCAGACAGTGGCTAAGTTGAGTTAGAAGGTTCAAGATCTCTCTAACTTGTCTGGGGCCTTGGTGCTTTCTATGCAATGAAGTTCATATGTTGAAGCCCTAAACCTCAATGTGCTAGATTTGGAGGTGAGAACTTTGGAAAGTAATTTGGTTCCAAGAAATCATGAGGTTGAAGACCCTCCATGATTGGATTGGTGCCCTTATAAGGGGACAAAGATACCAGAGTGCTCTCTGTCTCCATCATGTGAGGATATAGCAAGAAGATGGCTGTCTGCAAACCAGGAAGGGAGCACCCACTAAACACCCAACCATGCTGACACCCTGATCTTGGATTTCCAGATTTTCAGTCTCCAGAAATGTAAGATATAAATTTGTTGTTTAAGTCACTCAATCTATGATATTTCTGTTATAGCAGCTCCAACTGACTAAGGCAGTGCTATTGACTGGGGCATCTCTGTTCTTCCCTAGGTGGCCTTTCCATGTGGTGTCTCTAGGGACTCACCATGTCCCTAGAGATACGGATATCTCTAGAAGGATATCCTGGAATTCTAACATGAAGGCTCAGGACAGTGAAAGTTAAAACTGTCAGACCTTACTTTTACCACATTTTATTGGTCAAAGTGAGTTAGAAGGCCAATCTAGATTAAAAGGAAAAGGAATTGGACTCTACCCTCTGAAGAGAGGAGTCCAAGGAAGGGAAGGAATTGTTTGAGGGACATCTGAAAATGATCACAAATCTGCCCCCTGGCCACAATTTTTGTCTCACTAACATACAAAAATATACTCACTCTGTACCCTAAGAGTCTCATTCCATTATGACATAAGTTTAAGTTCAGAATCTTATCATCTAAACCATGTCCAGATATAACAAACTTCCTCAGTTACTGTTTCTCAAGTGAAGATGCTTGAGAGTAGCTTGTCCCAGTTAAGGTTTTCTAGGATAGGAACACCACACAGAGACTATCATTCAAAAAAGGAGACAAGGAAACAAGAAGCATACAAGTAAAATTGTTTTCAGGGCTCCCCTACACCAAAGGAAGAGGCTACTCTTTGATTGTGGTTCAGTTCATCCCTCTGGTAGTGGTTTCCTAATCCATTGCTCTCCTTGCTTCTTGGCTCCTCCCTCTGGGGTTTTGGCTCCATCTTCCATTCTTTTTTCCTTTTCTATAAAAAAAAGACAAGTACTGGGTTGGAAAATTTCCTCTAAATTCTGCTTTCCAATTGAACAGTTCCTTCTTTAGTTCACTCAGTAGTACTGGGTTGGAAAATTTCCTCTAAATTCTGCTTTCCAATTGAACAGTTCCTTCTTTAGTTCACTCAGTAAATGTCTTCCTGTACACTATGAGAAGCAGCTATAATAAGTTAATCAGTATTTTCAACATTCACCTGGAAATCTCCTTAAGCCATCTACAAGCAATTAAGTTTCATTTTCTATTCCATATTAAGATAGCAAAATTATTGCCAAGCATTCTGTCAATGCATAACTCAATCCTCCATTTCCTTCAATAATTCAATAATTTATTTACTGCCTTGCCCATCCTCCAGTAAGAGTTTGTTCACTATTCTTCAAAGCTTAGCTGGTAGCTTCTTGTCACATGTATTATAGCATGCTTAAGCAACACAATTTATTCTCACAAAGTTCTGTAGAAGTCCAACACAAAAATCTCACTGATCTAAAATCAAGATGTTAGCTGAACAGCATTCCTTTCTGGACACTCTGGAGAGAATCTGTTTCTTTGCTTTTTCCAGCTTCCAGAAGCTGCTTGGGGCTTGCGGTTCCTATCACTCATCTGTAAAGCCATCAATGGCAGGTTGAGTCCTTCTCATTTCACATCATTCTGACGTTCTCTTATGTATCCGTCTTCCACTTTTCAGGTCTCATGCTTATATTGAGCCTACCTAGATAATTCAGGATAATCTCTACATTTCAAAGTGCTTAACTTAATGACAGAGGCAAAGTCCTTTTTACCATGTAAGGTTTAATCTTTTGTTATGGTAACACCCCACTCCTGATACCAATTTGTTATCTATTGCTGAGTAACAAACTACTCCAAAATGTCATATGCTGAAAAAAACTGATTTGCGATTTCTCAAAATCCTCTGTTTAAACTTTTTGATTTTTTGCTTCCCATGTGCATTAAGGTAACTTTGGCAGCTACATTCAGCTGGACTTCAGTCACCAGACATGGGAAGGGTATGACCTCAAGCACAGTGTCCTTCTGCAGTTGAAGCAGACTCTGAAGGAGCTGACAGTTGGAGGCTGCTGACCTCATTCCTTGCAACTGGGAGGTCAGTCCTGTCTTGAAAGTGAATCAGGCAGTGTATCACTTTGCTTATTACAATCCACCCTTTGTTCCACATAGATCTATGTCTCCCTGTATGTTTAGGGAGCATTTCCTAAAGGAATCAAGAGACATCTTTTCCTGACCCCTCAGAAATTTAGAAGATGGAGATTAATGGAACAAATTACAGTCCTTGCTGCTGCAGTGGGGCTTGGGAATCCAATAGAAGATGGAAGTAAACAGATCAAACTACAGTGCCTGCTGCTTCAGTCAGGTTCAGGAATGCCATCAATAGTTGTCACATCCCCTCAACCTCCACTATCAATTCTAGATTTCCCTCAGCCTCTGCTACCACCTCTGCTGCTCCTGGTGGTTTAGCTGGTATAACTCAGACCCACATTCCTTGAGAGGCCTGAGTTCCAGGCCATCATGCCCTTTTAAGGATGGATTGCCACACCTACACATTACAGTCTTAAATTGGTAGGTTTATCACTTGGGCACCACACTTATTACTTCTGCCCAGATTGTGTAACCAGGATTCCAACCTCCTCTTGATCAGGGTCAACTGATCTTGACTCTTTTATTGGCTGCTGCTCCCTGGACACAAGGAACCCAAAATGTCCAGGTAGCTGCTGCAGCCTATGTTTTTCAGTGAGATTTTTGATATACCTCCTGGCAAAAGCATGTCCCCTTGTGAGCCCAAGACCTCTCACTGCAGAGTTCAGAGTTACGAAGAGATGCAGAGTACCACATGGGTCATTAAAAGTGATGGCAAGGAGGGGAGGCACCTCTTTTTCCACCCTCTTTGCATCTACTCCCAGGAATAAATGGGTTCCAAGACCCATCTATTCTTCATATTGGGGCACATGCTATATAAGGATAACTGATCCAATATGTATTCTGTATCTTGGAGAATGGCATCCTATACTTGTAGAATATTGCCTATGAACTGGTGTTCAGCTGTACCTTCAGCAGGTTGTTCCAATGTTCTATCAAGCTGACAGATTCCAAGTGGTGAAAAAAGTGATATTAGTAGTGGATCCTGTGGATATGGGTCCACTCCTGCACTTGCTTTTCCATAAAATAGGTTTCCCGATCTGATATGATATAATGTGAGATCCCATGCTGGTGAATATAATACTAAATGAACTCAAACGGTGATATTTACTGAGGCTCTGGAAACAGGAAAAGCAAACTCCTATCTGGAAATTGTGTCTATTTCTATGACAAGGAAATGCTGGTCCTTCCAGGATGGAAGGGGCCCAATGTAACCAACTTGAAGAATGGTGTTATATCAGGGGTGCAGTATTGTCTCTGTTGCTCTCAGGTTGGACACTCAACAGCAGCAGCAGCTAAGGCAGCCTTGGTAAGTTGAATCTCAAGCTACTGAACCTATGGTTAGTCTTCAACCCTTCCACAGTGGATACTTCATTCATGTGCCCACTGTGCTAGCACTGGGTGGCGAATAACTGAAGCAGGATGGACGATGTCAACTAGGCAATGTGCTTAGCTTGCTTTATTGTTTAGTGACTCTTCAGTACTGAATGCTCTCTGGTGAGCACTGCACGCAATACAGAGACCTTTACAGTTCATGTACATGTCTGACACAAGTATGTCCATTCGCATGCCTCTATTCTAGACTTTCTGTGCTTGATCTTCCAGTATTTATTCTTAAGGACAAATACCAGCTTGGCTACTTGGACTATTAAATTCTAGATGAGCTTTATATGCAACCAAAGAAGGCCTCTTTCTATAGAGCATTAGTGGCACTTGGTCATTCAATTCTGTTGTTCTTAAATGTACTATTTCCTTCGTAAGTCTCAAATACCTGATACACTGCACTCGCTGGCACATTCTCTTCCATGGGTAAATCTTCTCATTTTACCACTAATAAAAGTTACCACCTTGAGCCATGGGCTTTTTTTGTTCCATCTGCCACATGTGATGGGATCCTCACTGGAAGCTCAGATCACTCCTGCTAACAATTACCACAGGTTGAGTCCTCTAAAGAGAAATGTTGAGATGGAGTTTGGGGTGTAAGACACCAGTCAGGGGAAGGGGAGGAAGCAGGATTGGGCAGAAGAAGAAATTAAGCTGTAACAGAGGGAGCTCTGGGGAAGGTTTTGCCTGACAGTGTAATAAATGAGGCTGAAGTAGCAAGGCCTTACATCTCCATTGAGTGCAGCCCTGACATCCAAGGTGAGGGTAACCTCAGGTGAAGCTTTTTCTATAGCTGTTGCAGATGAAGTGCTGATACTGGTGGATTTCTGTTCTCCACACTCCCTGCAGCTAATTAGCAAGTGCTTTCTAGAATGGGGAATCTAGGCAGCACATTTTCATATCTACCACAATGTCTAACCTATCTGCAAATACTGGCTTTACCTTCAAAATATATGCAGGATCTTGTCATTCTGTACCACTCGCCCATGATCACAACCCTTGTCCAGGCAAATATCATCTCTCAAATGGACTACTGAAATAGCATTCTAATTGATCTTCCTATTTTACTTCTCTCCTGCAGTCTATTTTTCATATAGAAGCCAAATAATCCTTTAAAAATATAAGTCACATCTTGTCACTCCTTTGCTGAAATTCTCTGATGGCTTCCTATCTCATCACTCAGAGTAAAACCTTAACATCTTACCGTGGCTCCACACCACTATTACTCCCTATGATCTCATCTTCTATCATTTTTTTCCTCCCACACACTGTTCCAAACTGCTGTTCTTGTTATTCCTCAAACATGCCAAGTATACTGCTGCCTCAGTACCTTTGTGTGTGGGTGTATATATATATATATATATATATATATACACATACTGTTCCCTATAATTAAAACGTTATTCACTTACTTATTTGCATGGCTCACTCTCTCTCCATTTAGGTCTCTGCTCAATTTTACCTTATCACAGGCTTTCCCATCTGACCATGCTATTTAAATTGGCACCCTATTTCCTGCACCAGTCACTATCAGTTCCTTACTCTGCTTTACTTTCTTCTCAGCACTTACTAACTTGGCATGCTATAGCCATCACCTAGACAACAATTTGACACATAGTATGCACCCAAAATTTTTTAGAATGGATGAATGAATGAATCCTGAAACCCTGAAACTTCCCTCTGCTGACTTTTTTTTTTTTTTTTTTTGAGACTGAGTCTTGCTCTGTCGCCCGGACTGGAATGCAATGGCACCATCTCGGCTCATTGCAACCTCTGTCTCCCAGGTTCTAAACAATTCTCCTGCTTCAGCCTCCTGAGTAGCTGGGATTACAGGCACGTGCCATCACACCCAGCTAATTTTTGTATTTTTAGTAGAGACACTTTCACCATGTTGGCCAGGCTGGTCTCATACTCCTGACCTCAGGCGATCCACCTGCCTTGGCCTCCCAAAGTGCTGGGATTACAGGTGTGAACCACTGCACCTGGCCTGCTGATTTCTGCTTAATGCTCTCTTTTTTGGCTTTTGGTTTCCTTCCCCATTTTACTGGAAGACATTCTTCAGTATTCTCCTAAGCATCTTTAGCTCAAGAATATATGGGAGGCAATACTTTTGAGACCTTGTATGTCTTTATACTATATTCATACTTGATTGATTATATGACTAAAAATAGAATCCAAATAGAAAATTATTTTCACTTAAAGTTCTAAAGGCATCACCCCATGTCTTCTAGTTTCCAATGCTGTTTTTAAGAAGTCCTTTAATATCCTGATTATTGGTCGATGTACGACCTATTTCTTCTGTTTGAAATCTTTTAGTATTTTCTATCTATAGTGTTCTGAAATTCCTTGACGATAAGCCTTAATGTACATCTTTTTTTTTACTCTAATGACTTAATGTCCTCAATTTTAGAAATCACAAATGTTTTTTTCCATGCCTTTCCC